AAGCAATTGAAGATAGGGACAGCACACCTGGAAAGAGAAGATCATTTGCACGACAATTGTCGCCTCCGATGACTCCAAGGACTAAGGCAAAGACTACGTCGTCGAATCCGCCTTCACCGATTCAGGACGCTACTCCATCAGGGACAGGATCTTATCAGCAAGTGAATGCCCCGTCAAGTGGTAGCGACATCTTCACTGCCTATCAGAGTGAATTAACTGAGTACAAAACATCACTGGAAAGGGCCACTGAAGAAGAATCTGTACTTCAGGCAAGATTGAGTGAGACGACAGCATATGCCTATCAACAATTTAATTTCCTGGAAAGCACCACTCATCAAGAGATGATGTCGATGACCGAACAACTCCAGATGCTGAACTTCGAGTTACAGGCTGCACAACAGGAAGATGAAGGTGCGACCTACAGGATCGAAGAGTTGGAAAGGTATCAGACTATGTCGAATGAAGCTGCATCTCATTTGGAATTCAAATATTCACGACTACGTTCGGAATTCGATGAACAAATGGGACAAGCAAACGCAATTATGGTACATGTGGGAACTGACGCGAATGCTCACATCAATCAACTCAGACTGGAACTGGAAAACGCAGAGATGAATGCCAAGCAAGAAGCTCTAGCAGTCGGCTATGCTAATGACCAAACATGTGCTTTGCAGATCGAGATGCTCGAGGTTGCCAATCAGAACAGACGATGAAGCACACCATGGCCATGAATGTCAGGCGACTGGAAACTGAGTTAGATGCTGCTGACATGAAGAGGGACGAGATCATGAAGGAGTTCCGTAGTAACATAAGATCTGAACATGACCGTTATGCAGAATGTGAACATCACTTAGCTTTGGAAGAATCACAGCTTCGATTACAGGTGATCCACAGTGAGAACTTACAATCTCGACTAGCGATTTCTGAGAACAGGGTTTCTGAAGAATCTCTAGCTGAATCAGGTGGCATGCGGGACATGAGGATAATGGGACTACGTTCTGAACTACACATGAAACAAAGTCTTTTAGATCGAATGCAACAGCAACTGACTGAATCGAAGAATCAGTATCATGAACTTTCCTGTCAACAAGCCAGAAGATCTTCACCAAGCAGATCACCGCATGGAGGACCTATATACGAGATGTACATGCAAGCCGTGCGTGAACGTGACAGCTTGAAAGAATCCAAGGCCGAAGTTGACAAGTTGTACTTGCAGAATAGATCTGAACTCATTGACACTGAGGACCTGCTCAAAGTCTTCCAGCGAAACTTTGATGAAACTGGTAAGAAATATCAAGATGCTCTGAACAAGATCGATCACATGAGCAACAATCCGAATGTGACGAGTACCTTGTTTGACAGTTTGCACAATGAACTCAATGACAGGGATACAGCTATTGCTCGCCTTCATACTGAACTTGAAGCCCAAAAGGACTCTCTTGAGCGTGCTCACAGGGATGCAGGTAAGTCCATCAAGATGTTGAACGACAGAAGACTCGTGATCAAAGGTGCGACTGACTATTCCATTCCTGAAAGCCATTTGACCGAGATGCATCAATTGGCCAATGAGCGTTACGCTGAGGTAGAAGAGATGTCGAGCACCATTGCTGCCCTGAAGTTGGAAAACCAAGCTCATTCTTCTTCATCAATGAATAGACCGACTACATTACATGGGTACCCCAGTAATGCCATGCCTCGGAATGAATGTGAAGAGAAGTGTGCCAAACTGAAAGCAGAGTTGGACGAGATGAAGCAAGAGAAGAACAATGAAGTTCGAAATCTTCAAGATGAGTTGAAGAAGATGGAAGATCGTAAAGATTACTATAAGAACAATTTCTCTCAAGCTGAAGATCGTGCCAATGATGAAGAGCAGGAATACCGAGCAGAAGCTGAAGCCTTCGAGAAGCTCAGGAACGAGTACAACACAAATGTCAAGGAGTTGGAGAACCTTGAAAGGGATAGATCCAAGTCATCTGTATCTCTAAGAGAAGCCGAAAAGATCAGCCTCCAACCCTGGCCTAAGACCACTGAACTTTCATCCTGGAAGGGAAGTGTCGTTCATGAAGTTTGCGTTGCAAGTGGAGATCGAAACTATGAAGATTGGAAGGCGTGGTTAGCTCCGTGTCTTGCAGATCAACCTGACTTGGAGGCGCTGGCCAAAGCTCCTGATGTGAGATTCCAATCCATTGATGCCAAGCTCTCCAATGCCTTGAGGAAAGTCATTGACAATGCTGGGGACAAGTCCATGCAAGTGAAGTATGACATGTCCATGAAGAACCAATTGTATGGGAGAAGTGGGGACTTCATCAAGGGACGAGAACTATTTGCAATGATATTGATTAGCTTCAAGTCACCTGACCACACTGAAGTTCTCTACAATGCCCATCATTTGTATATGTTCAACTACTATGGAGATGACCAACTTGAGGCCTTCTACAACAAGTGGCTTGACATCGTATACAATATGAAACATGATGATCTGCCTTCCAACAATTCCCTGCGTGACACATTGTTCCGGAAGATTGAACATTCAAAACTTATGGCCTTCGATATCAACCGATACAAAACCTTTGATGAAGGGCATCATGAGAAGACCTATGCTTACCTAACTGGTATGATCAAGGGATACATAGCACGAGGGAAGCAAGAACGACTGTTGAAAGATAGAGAACGTGCAGTGAAACTGTCATTGTCCTCTAACAAGACGACACCTGCCTTAGAAGATGCAGACAAGCCTGCCGCTCCCGTCAAGACCAAGAAGGAGAATGAAGCGGCTGCATCGTCTACAGGTGATCCTCCCAAACGTCCTAAGGCGAAAGCGAAGAGTGAAGCTGCATCGGTACTTCCCACACCTTCTCCGAAATCCCATGCCGACAAGAACAACAAGAAAGGCAAAGGTGGGAAGGGAAGATCATCTTCACCCGTTGACAAGAAGAAGATTTTCTGTAACTACTTCTTCAATAAAGGAGGATGCAACAAAGGTGACAAATGTCTTTACAGTCATTCTCAGAAGGTCTATGATGCCAAGATGAAAGGTAAGAAAGGCAGAAGTGGAAGTCGAGATTCATCAAGAGGGAAAGGTAGAGGAAGTTCATCTTCAGCTGGGCCCAAAAAGAAGGTATGTTGGAATTGGCAAGAAGGTACCTGCAAGTTCGGAAACAAATGTAAATTCCTACATGCAGATAAATCGCCTTCAGCATCCTCAGAGAGAACCAGCAAGAAAACACCAAAGAAGAAGGCGACTCCCATTACCATTGATTCCTTCTTTGATAGCGACAATGAAGATTCCATGGATTATACCTCACCGAGGATAGCCAGTGCAAAGAAGTCTTCTGAT